CTGACTGCATATTATTTCTTATTACTGCTGCAGGTTTAAATCCCACCAGGGACTTTGAATTCTGTCATGTGAAGAAACTATGCATCATTCTGGCCTACAGGTTGCTGTTTTAAAATCACATGCTACTCACTGAATATGGTTCAAATCTAGTTATTAGAGGCATTTAGTCTCCTTAAAGTATTTTGTTGGTTCTTCCATAAGACCCATTTGTACTTGAAACAATCAAAGGCACCAATTTTTCTTTTTCCATGAGCATGGCAGCTAGGAAATGATTTAGTAAGCAAAGGTTTACAGCAATGGTAGTAGGTCCCAGTAAACAGCATATGCTCAGGTAGGGCCTCTTGTGCGATTTCAAAACACAGTTATATGAGTTCCTTATCATTGATAATGAGATTTAAATGGTAGCATAATTTTCATAATGGTGAAAAAATTGTTTACATGTTTGGTTCAAATGCTGGGTGTCCATAGGTGGCAAATGAGAATTTAAAGATTTGGTCTTTATTAATAGATCATCAGTGAATTTTACACCAATAGGTGGTAAATGAGGTTCTCATTCTTACAAAAGTTACATAGTTGCACTGAACCATTCATCACCCATTGATAAAATTCTATAACTAGGGCAATAATATGGAATGTGTCTTAAGAGTGTGAAGACCACCCTTAAGGGGTTTAACCTAAGTCAGGCTTGTGTAGGTGATATCTTCACCGAAGGAATAGACTAACTAAAAATAAAAGTTGTCATGGGCAAGTTGATGTTTATGAAAATTTGTAGTCACCTGGATCTAGCACTCACAGTCTCACTTCTAAGTGCCACCTCAGTACCCACCCATAACCTACATAACATGTGCAATAAAACACATTAATACAACATCCCCACACAATTATAGCAATCCTGTCTTAATACCAAATGACTGTCTCTCACAGTAAGTGCAACATAACCACCTAAAACCAAAATTAGAGAAATCCCACTTCCACACTACATTCCCTCATATTAGAGGTATCCATCTTTAACAGCACTTTCCTCATAATATGTGCAATCCCATCATAACACCACATTCGCTTACAATAAGTGCAATCCCACCTCAACACCACATTCTCTCTCAATACGTGCAATTCCACCACAACACCACATTCTCTCACAGTAAGTGCAATCCCACCTCAACACCACATTCTCTCACAGTAAGTGCAATCCCACCTTAACACCACATTCTCTCACAGTAAGTGCTATCCCACTTCAACTCCACATTCCCCCATGATAAATGCATTCCCACCTCAACACCATATTACCTCACAATAGTGCAATCCCACCTCAACATTCTCTCACAGTAAGTGCAATCCCACCTCAACACCACATTCCCTCACAATAATTTTATTCGGATGTCAACACTACATCCCCTCACATTCAGAGCAATGTCCGCCTGCATGCCAAATTCCTTCACAATTAATCTTTGTCTCTTACTCTGTTTGGCATTTTCATTTGGCATGACAGCCTCTAGCTTTGGAAGGAGTTTTAATTGAATAAGGTCAAAGACTCTTTTAACCTATAAATAGGTTATTTTGCTTTTCTTGGAGCCTCCTGTTTTGGACCAATACTAAACTAATGTTGGTAACACAATTATTATTTTATGTTTGCCTGTTTTTAAAAAGGGTATTTTGACATGTTTGTCGTAACAGGACATTATGTGGAATGTAGCAAGTTGTTAGGGCATGAGAAAAGTTCACAAGAATGACGATATTGCCTGACATTGAATGTATTATCCTGATGCACTGCAGAGTTGACGTATTTAGCAATAATAGTGCAATGTATTCATTCTAACAGATGTTTTAAGAAATGTATTTTTATAAAGATATGTATAAGCATGTATAAAAAAGTACATATTGGAGCTACTATGGTTATAACTTAAGTACAAAATGTATAAGTTTAGTAAAGAATGTATTGTTATAACTAAGTACACAATGTCTGGTTATAACTTAAGAACAGGATGTATGGATTTAAAGTACATAATGTCTGGTTATAACTGAAGTACAGTATATATGGTTATTAATTAAGTACTGAATGTCTTGTTATAACTTAAATACAGAATGTCTGGTTTTAACTTAAGTACAGAATGCATGGTTTTAACTTTAGTACAGAAAGTCTGGTTACAACTTTAGTACAGAATGTATGGTTATAATTTAAGTACAGAATGTCTGGTTTTAACTTAAGTACAGAATGCATGGTTTTAACTTTAGTACAGAAAGTCTGGTTACAACTTTAGTACAGAATGTATGGTTATAATTTAAGTACAGAATGTCTGGTTTTAACTTAAGTACAGAATGCATGGTTTTAACTTTAGAACAGAAAGTCTGGTTACAACTTTAGTACAGAATGTATGGTTATAATTTAAGTACAGAATGTCTGGTTTAACTTAAGTACAGAATGCATGGTTTTAACTTTAGTACAGAAAGTCTGGTTACAACTTTAGTACAGAATGTATGGTTATAATTTAAGTACAGAATGTCTGGTTTATTTACTTAAGTACAGAATGCATGGTTTTAACTTAAGTACAGAATGCATGGTTTTCACTTTAGTACAGAAAGTCTGGTTACAACTTTAGTACAGAATGTATGGTTATAATTTAAGTACAGAATGTCTGGTTTAACTTAAGTACAGAATGCATGGTTTTAACTTAAGTACAGAATGCATGGTTTTAACTTTAGTACAGAAAGTCTGGTTACAACTTTAGTACAGAATGTATGGTTATAATTTAAGTACAGAATGTCTGGTTTTAACTTAAGTACAGAATGCATGGTTTTAACTTTAGTACAGAAAGTCTGGTTACAACTTTAGTACAGAATGTATGGTTATAATTTAAGTACAGAATGTCTGGTTTAACTTAAGTACATAATGCATGGTTTTAACTTTAGTACAGAAAGTCTGGTTACAACTTTAGTACAGAATGTATGGTTATAATTTAAGTACAGAATGTCTGGTTTATTTACTTAAGTACAGAATGCATGGTTTTAACTTAAGTACAGAATGCATGGTTTTCACTTTAGTACAGAAAGTCTGGTTACAACTTTAGTACAGAATGTATGGTTATAATTTAAGTACAGAATGTCTGGTTTAACTTAAGTACATAATGCATGGTTTTAACTTTAGTACAGAAAGTCTGGTTACAACTTTAGTACAGAATGTATGGTTATAATTTAAGTACAGAATGTCTGGTTTAACTTAAGTACAGAATGCATGGTTTTAACTTAAGTACAGAATGCATGGTTTTAACTTTAGTACAGAAAGTCTGGTTACAACTTTAGTACAGAATGTATGGTTATAATTTAAGTACAGAATGTCTGGTTTAACTTAAGTACATAATGTCTGGTTGCAACTTTAGTACAGAATGTTGTGTTATAACTTCAGTACAGGTGTCTTGTAACAATTTTTGTGCAGAATGTTTTATTACAGTTATTACAGTACAATTTTACTTTAGAATATCTTGTTATATATTTTTAGAATTTCTTATAGGATGTAAACGCTCTTATACTGAATAATGACAGTGTCTATTTATAGAAATTGGAAATTCCCGTCCCTGATAACAAAATTTAGGTCGTGTTTTAATCTTCTTCATGACGAGAAGAAAGGTGTATATCTTTAGCAATGAGGCAACAGTCATTCATGTTTATGTAACGCTCTACAAAATTAAGATGCAGATTTAAATATTTATATGTTGACATTTCTTCAATTGAATTCAGGTTTTCATTCATAAGTTTGTTTGATGTAATGGAGAGAAAGTGTGAGACATGAAATACTGTAAATAGACACTGATGTCATACTGTTTAAACACTGTAGATGTTTTGCATAAATATCTTTTGTTGGTCAATAAAAACTAGGTTAATGATGAAGATAAAGCTTTGTACCGTTTTACACTGTAATAAAATAAAACATTAGGTTCAGTGCTATCAATGATGTATGTAAAATTGAAAAATTTGCAATTTTTTTGTTTGTTTGTTTGTGTTGAACAGTCACTGTTTATATATAAATGTATATTTATATTGTGGAAAATATTGAATAACATATGAAAGTTTAAAATTTGAAGTGTGTACTTGAAATATTAAATTGTTATCCTTTATCAAGCATATATTGACTATTCCTATTGAAATGGTATTTACAATGTGTTTGTATCAAAAGTTATTGTCAAAGATTCTTCAGTTTGTGGCCTCATTGAGTAAGTAAGAAATGTTGCGGACTCCCGTTAAATACCGCCCATGCACTCAGTCTGGCATCAGAGTTGAACACCCCTAATTGTCAGATTCACCCAAATGTATTTACCACATTGAACGAATCCGCCTACGCCTCCCAACTTGAGGGGAAGAAAAAAATAGATTTTATTAAAAGTAAAAATGCTAATGATATATTACTAATTAAGTTCATTTTTTCTATACATTAATTAATTAAAATGATTAAAGTTTCATCAGTTAAACTTTCCATTGGTTGGATTAACAGACTTATATATAAGTGTTATATTTTTAGAAGCCCCTAAAGTACTTAATAGCATTATAGTATAACTATTTTTTGGGTCCTTTAAGTACTTTTTAACAATTGATAACTGTTTTTGGGGGCCTCAAGTGCTTTTAACAAGGGTTTTACTGTACAAGTCTTTAAATTTCATGTTAAACCTTCTAGAAATTAATAATGAAACAATAAAAGATGTTTCTGTCGTAAAAATGATGAATTACTAATTCTCATAATGTATTATTAAGACACAAAACTGGCAAATGCTTTTATGAGATTATAAACAAATAAATGTAATGCTGTTTTAAAGAAAATTAATTTCTTTAAAGCCCTATTTTAAGACGTCAAGAATTCGTAATTAGGAATTATTTTTGTGCATAAAACCAGCAGAAATTATCTTAATTACTTTATTCAGACAATTGAACTCAAAGAACTTGAAAACGTTAGTATGGTTAGAGTGATAGAAACTGTGTCAATGTCAAATTTTATTTCTTATTTCTATTTCCAGAGCCTCAGTCTGGTTTCAGGATTGCCTTCAATATGTTTGACACGGACGGGAACCAAATTGTGGACAAACGAGAATTTTTAGTTGTAAGTATATTTCAGATAAGATTTTTATTATGTTTCTATTTAGACTCTTTTTTCTATTTTATCTACTCAATTCTGTAATTGTAGGAGTTTATTTTAGAACTTCTTTATTTATTGTTAAATTTTAAGAACTTTTCTATTATATTTGTTATTAATTTCTGTATTTTATCTGTATCCTATACATGTTATGCAGATTCTTTATAAAGAAAACTGTATTTTATCAATGTTTTTTTTTTAACACCATGTTTATTCTGTAAGTGTTGTCGATTTTATCTATATATTTTTCTGTACATTTTGAACAACATTTCTCATTAATTGCCATGCATGCCCTTTCCTTTTTCATTATCTAAGGGAAACAACCTATTACTAGTTTAATAACTTCTTATTCCTCAAGTTACTTCCCTTTAAATTTTATTAATACTGTTACATCTTACCATGCTTTGAATATTTTATTTACTTTTGTGATTTTTTACAGGGACTATTACAAAATGTTCTTCATTAATCATATTATATCAAATTAAGATGATATAAATGTGTCAGTTATTTTAAAAAATTTAAATCAATTTTGACTAAATTTGTTCTAGAGTTTTGTATCATCACAATCATGTCATATACAATGTATATGATGTAGTAAAGTAAAAAAGGATGAAGTATTAAGAAATATACAAAAAGTTACTTAAGTTGCAGGTTATTTTATAATACAAGTTTTATTTTCAGAAAATAGTTTTGAAGTTTATAGAAGCGTCTATTTTGTACAATTATCGTTTGTTAGTCAGCATTAATGAAATTAAATCTGTATGGTGAAGCACAGCCACAATACATCTGATTTTAAAAACGACTTTCACTAACCTACTCTAATGGTTGAAAATATATAAACCATCACTTTAGTGCAGTAATGGGTTAACTCCTTATATAAGTTAATTAAAGTTAACCCGTTACTGCACTAAGGTGGCAAACATGTAATGTCTGATAAGGTTGTTCAATTTTTCAAATAATGAATTTTAATTAACATTGACTTGTCATTCTTTCACTGTGTAAAAGTTTTAAACATAATATCAGCCATAAAGAAGGCTAGTGTTTGATAAAGTCAGCATTTTATTCCATTGTATCTGTGGCTTCATGCTCTCAACAGATTGAATTATTTCATTAATAACAAGGGGACGTAATCATGTCATATAATACTAGAGGGGCTGGGATAAATTGTGTCAAATAATATACAGTCAACTATCGTTATCTCGACATCGCTTTTCTCGATATTTCGTTATCTCGATCAAATTCTGAAAGTCCCGTTTTTTCCCCTTCTTTATCTATATTGAATATATTTCTTTATCTCGATATTTTTATTTCGATTTTTTCAGTATCTCGATGTGATATTTCAGTCCCAATAGTTATTTTCACACTATAATCCTTTGTTTATCTCGACAAATAATTGTTCGTCTGCGCCCTCCCGCAGAGGTGTGAAAAACACAAAGCGGACGGTTATCGCTCAAAGCGCGTGTCATAATAATTAATGATGATATGTTTGTAACAAGTCAAGGTGTTTTGAAAGTATTGTTTATCTAATTAGCGTGTTGATTGACTTATGTCGAAAATGAGTGAATTTTCCGTTATGTATAAAACATACGAACACTGTATTTTGAAAAGTGATTAAAATGTGTTTAATACTGTGTGCTATCATTAGAATAAACTTTACTGCAAGTGATATCAGTTTGTAAACTTGTTATCGAATAATCGGTAAATTAAATAAACATGCTAACTATTCATAAATTGTGTGCTTTTATAAATGTGCTATTACTCTCACAAAATGATTGCTATGAAATGTGTTCATGTAATTTATATGTGTTATGTTATATATGCAATGTTAAAGTACTAAATAAATAAATAAATAAAGTTAGAAAACAGCGTTTTGTTTTAGTGGTGTATAACTGAGTAAACCTCACTATGTGTCAATCACATAGCACCTAAATGCTGTATTTCCGCTGGTAAACATCCGTTAAATTATGTAACAAATTGTTATTTTTTATTGTAAGGATTGACACAAGATTATGAAACATCGTACTTATTTGACTTATAAGGGATGCGCATGTCTTCTGTAAAAATTAGTTTTTGACATGTTCAAACCCTCATACGTTTATCTCGACATTTCGTTATCTTGATATTTTTTTGACGGTCCCGAAGACTTCGAGATAACGAGAGTCGACTGTATATTATTTGTTGTACAAACTGTAAGTTATTGTGACATATGAAATTATTTTGTTGATTGTACAACACAAGGGGGGTAATCTTGTTATTGTTCAAGCCATAGCTTATAAAAACAAGGGGGATAACTATGTCATATGTTATTGAAAATTACATACAAGCAATAGCTTACAAAACAAGAGGGATAATACTGTTATATAATTTAATTATACTTATTGTTCAAGCCATAGTTTATCAATCATGGAGGATAACTGTGTTCTGTGATAAAAGTTACTATGTATATTGTACAAGCTATTGTAGATAATAAAACAAGGGAGGTAAATCATGTCATAGGATTATTTTTATTTATTTTTTGTACAAGCGATACCTTCAATTTGACATGCAATGTTGTTTTACCTGCAAAACCCTTTATTATTTATTTATTGCCCATTTAGATAGTGTCCGTGGTGAGTTGAGTATTTAGATGGTAAATTATGCTGCATATTGTATTTTGTTGAGTGTTGTTTAGTTAGCTCACTTGAGTTTACTGTCACTTAGACTGGTAACAAAACATTATGAATGAGAGAAGCAAATTTTTAGAGAAAAAAAAAATGATTTGAGAACCAGTCAACCTTAGAAGCTCTGCAATTGGTTCAATTTGAAAAATTGGATTTCAGTTTTAACCAATCAGATTTGAAAACTCAAGAGACAACTTGGGAATTAGTGAAAACTAAGGACATTTGTTGTGATCTCAAAGTAACTCAGTTAAGCTTTGCTACCGCAAGTTGGGCTTTTAAATTATTTGTTGATAATAAATTTTATACTAGTAATCATTTAGCCTTAGTTCACAGCATCAAATAAGAAATTTTTTATAGCTGGACTCAAGAGGCTGTTTACAGTGTTGAAGTCTACAATAAATTGTCATGATAGTACAGTTACAAGTGTTTTAAACTCAAATGATCTAATGTAAATGCATTACTTTGTATGAAAAAATTGTGATGTTCAAATTTTCTTACACTTGAAAAATGTCCTGGGTGAAAAAAATGACAGTTTCTATGTGATATCACATCTAATTCTTATATTTAATTTATATTCTGCAGAGAGTAATGTAATAACTGTAGACTAGAAGCCAGGCCAGCATGCACATTTGTGTAGAGCCTAGCAATACAGGGTCTAATCTATACTGTTGGCTGACTTATTGTCAAGTTTAATATCTTGATCTCCCTAAAAATTGATAATGGACAGCTCCCAAAATAGAAACTGGACAAGTCCATTTTAGAAATTCAGCCGGTTATAAAGTTGACAAGGGAGAAAATTTGAACAAGATATGTGTTATATTATAGCCACATTTTGTACTTGGAATGTATTGATGTAACAAGAATGATATTTGATTTTTCAGCATTATATGTTATAATTATATATAAGCAGAATATTTTAGTGTGTTATATGAATTATTAAAATTTATATGTCAAAGATGTCCTGTATGACTTGCTTTATTTGACATTTTTCATAAAAGAAGGAGATTCATTATTGTATAACATAATAAAATGACAAAATGTTATAACATACCTGTTAAATGTGAAGGTTCTTCAATCTTAGCTTTAGAGATTCTTAAGTAACATAAGAAATAACAACCTTTAAAATCAAGGGAGTGGTTATTCAAAATCTTTGAAATAGGTGGATTTGTAAGTCTATGAATTAAAAAACTTTGTAATGGGTGGATTTGCAAGTCTGGGAGAGGTTACAAAACTTTGTAATGGGTGGATTTGCAAGTCTGGGAGAGGTTACAAAACTTTGTAATGGGTGGATTTGCAAGTCTTGGAGAGGTTACAAAACTTTGTAATGGGTGGATTTGCAAGTCTTGGAGGGGTTACAAAACTTTGTAATGGGTGGATTTGCAAGTCTGGGAGAGGTTACAAAACTTTGTAATGGGTGGATTTGCAAGTCTGGGAGGGGTTAAAAAACTTTGTAATGGGTGGATTTGCAAGTCTGGGAGGGGTTACAAAACTTTGTAATGGGTGGATTTGCAAGTCTTGGAGGGGTTGCAAAACTTTGTATTGGGTTGATTCACAAGTCAAGGGAGGGGCTTATAATACAATTTTAAAATGGTATGATTTTCAAGTTTGAGATTTAATTACCAATGAAAAGGTGGATTCCTTCATCTAGGAGGGGTAATTGGATGAGTTCTTCATTAATGATAAATATTGGAGGTAAAAGAACATGTCATTGAGAAGGGACAGGGGTTTAAATATTTAAATATGTCAAATATTGTAAATTGTAGACTAATAATTTTGTTGTCTTTATTTTGTTATGTGAATGTAAAGCCACTAACTTTCTTTAATGTTTGGTTTGTAGATAGTTTAGTGTACTGAGTATGAGATTCATTTTGCAGATAGCATGGTCTTAATTCATACTAGTTTGAATGACAATGCATTTATGCCATCTTTAAAAAAGAGTGGCTTAGCTAAGTAGCATTGTGCTTAATGTGGCCATTCTGTAATATATATGGCTTTCAGAAATTTGGGGTTGAGTCTTGTGTATTTTAACCATTTAATTGAGAGAAAAGTTAAACTCAGCTTAAATAAGACATGGTTAAGCTATTCCTGTAGGACATATTTTTTGTCTGAAATAAGCATCCCCCCCCCTTGAAAATCTATCTATTGAATAAGCCTGAAAGGCACCTTTTTCATTAACAAAAATTGTAAAAACTATTATATTAATAATTGGCAAGATAAATATTTTCATTTGAATAGGTCCTTTATATGTTAATGCTATGTGATGCATGCTTTTTGGTGACATCATCATTCTGTAGTCAAGAAAAGTCTCTTTAACATGGGAGGTTTTAAACACCATTTACAAGGGACTTCTTACTGAAATAATTCTTAATTAGTAAACTCGCATTCCTTGGATTAATGTACTTGGGACAGAGCTGACTCTGATTAAACACCTCTTTTACTCCCTAAACTTCATTTTACACTTGCCTACTCTCTAAACATGGGTTTTACCTTCTAAAATTCAGTATATACACTTTTTAGCTGGTCTGTTTCAAAGAAAAGGCATGCGTTTTTGATCGCTGTGGCATTGTTGTGTAAGACAAGGGGCATAAATCTGAAAGCAATATTTTTGGAGTTATGTCCCTTTTTAACTTAGAATTTTTTTAACAGATGCCAAGCGTTAACAAACACACCACATGTGGTGCTCTTCTTTTCCATAGTTTATATAGCTTTTAGATTTTGACTGTATTTAGTTGTATGAGTATAATCAGGAATGTTCTGTTATATTTTATTTTTTATGCACTTTTAATATCGGCTGTTTATATAGCTGTAGGCAGTGTAGAATTTATTTACCCAACTTCTGCTCATTTAATATAATGTATAATATTGAAATCATTGCATTTAAATGGTGCTTCTTGCTGTAAAATTAAAACACTAGTTTTAGTTTCTGTATATACATGTATATATATATGACAGATTTTGAATTATATATGCCTGATCTGTAGCTGAATGTAATTATTGTGCACCCAGCATATAAAGATTATGGACACACCGAAGTATTGCAAGAATACACCTGCACAGATTGCGGTCTCCTTGCAAAAAATTATTCTCACAAAAAATAATGCCTCATTCAGCCAAAACATAGCCAATTAACCCTGTAGAAAAAATTATCGTCGAATAATTGTACTATAAGTAGAATTCTTTTGTGATATTCAAATGTGAAAAGAAAAGAACATGCAACACTTCAATGGAATGAATCTAAAATAAACAATGTTCATTTACTGAAATCACCATAATTTTGTAAATAATTTTTGGATTTTCCTTTATTTGTTTCTATTAATAGCCTGTGAATTGTTACTATAAATATCCCCTTAATTAATATATTTCAATTAATTATCATTTCCATTATTATCAATAATAGTATCAAATAGATTTGAGCACAAGTAACCTTTAAATTCAGTGATTTCAAACTAAAATATTTATTTTTTATAATCAAGCTGTCATAATATTTACCCAACCCAGCTTCATGTACATGAAACAAACAGTCGCTTCTCATACATGAAAACAAAAGCTGCTCTCACGTGTATTGATTTGCCATTTCTTTCAGTTGGAATCATTCTTCATTCTTCCGCCACACGAGCGCAAGTTTGTTCCCCGAGAAAAAAAGCATTTGCAGGCGTTACTAGATGTAGGTGATACAGCATTGAGTAGTTTCGACAGAATAGTGTCAGCCGCATGTTAATTTTTTTGTCTTTTTACCTGCAGTGCACTTTGGGAAAAGAAGCGAATTTTAGTGTAAGCTCATCTCTGGCAAGGTATTGAAAACAAAACGAAGTTTAAGTTGTTTAATAAAAAGTAAAGTTCAGAAAGAATAAGATTTCACAAAGTCAATCAGAGGTGACGAATAGATTTAAATTTTTTTTATTAAATAACTTGACAGAAAATTACTTTATTAAGAGATCATTTTGATTGTTTTGAAAGTAAAAAAAATTTATTTTGAATATTTTTTAGGTTAAATTTTGGCAGAGGGAGAGTTTACGCTTAAAATTCATCGTCACTTTTTTCCCTGCTATTGCAGAGGCACGCTATTACATATATATATTGTATATAATCAGATACGATCCCCTGTAGCTATATACAGTATCTGCTTGCTTCTTTTAATATCACATATTAGCTTTATTATTGTATAACTGCAAGGTTGTCTAGAGCTTTTTCTCGTTTTAACATAATGTCTTGTTTTCATACTAACAAACTATATATATATGCATTTGCTAGAAAATAAATCTGGACTTTCTTTGCTAATCAGAAACAGAAGGCTGACACAGTTTAGGAAACAAAACCTGCGAAAGTTGGTTTGCTGGTTGTTTTTTTTTTCCAGATTTTTTAACTATTTTTTTTTCCATTGCAGGAGTGATAAATATAAGTTTCAGATTTCATTGTACCAGTTTTGCAATATGAATACCAAATCAGGCAGTTTTTTCTTCATTGTAATTGAACATAAAGAGTCTTATTTCTTTGCTTGCATTGCCAATACTAAAACAAAATATCACTTTTTGCAAAAATAAAAATGTAAATGTAAGTAAAAAAATAAGTGAATTTTAAGTTTGTAACCTAGCCTTAATATATTAAGTTAACGATTTAAAAGTGTGTTTAAATTTATTGTAAGAGATGTCATGTTAATTCCATTACATCTATCATATATTTAGCAAATACATACACTGCCATCAATATGGTGTTCACATGACCCTTGCAAAGCAATTTCCTGGGTATTTCCTTTCCTTGGAACCCATGTAAATATCCCCAGCTTTAAATATTCCATGGTGCACAGTTTAATAACCTATAAACACTCCATGTGGCATTTTTACCTTGAGGATGATAATTATATAACCTTACTACTGGGAAATTTTGGACAAATAAGCTGAATCTTTTATGTCTGGGGCCCATCATTGTTTAAAATTGTATTTTGGGTTCTTGATTTGTATAAATTCAAAATTTCAGGAATTTACAAGAAAAGATAAAGTATTTTGCTTGAATGGGTTAACCAATAGCTTTGGTTTTGGAACAGTCTGTACAAAGTTTAAGGTTGTTGACTTCAAACCACTTGCCCTTCACCGCTGTGGGTTTGAATCCAGACAGGGACTTTGGATTCTTTCATGTGAGGAAGCTATCCAGCTAGCTTACGGAACGTCGGTGGTTCTACTCGGGTGCCTGAAATAATGCACGGAAGGGCACCTGAGGTCTTCCTCCACCAGTAAAGCTGGAATGTCGCGATATGACTTATACTGTGTCGATGTGACGTAAAACCCAAAACAAACAAACAAAAAACAAAGTTTAAGAAATTTCAATATCATAGTACAAAATTACAGCTGAGCCAATGGTCAGACTGCAGAGTAAAAAGTGCAGGACCTTGACTTGGCTTTAGAAAATATCTTATGTTCCCTCCCCTGTTAAGAATTTGAATTCATCTGAGTTTATCAATTTTAATGCTCAGTTGTACTGACCCATTTAAACTTCCACCAGGTACGGTGACAATAGGTTGATATTTATGCAAGGGCTATATTTTTTTTCAGCTTAAAAATAGCTTAATTTAGCTATTTTGGTCATGGGGATGATATTTGTGTCTTCTGTGATCCTGCACTGTCTTTGCTAGTAAAATACAAGCTTTTTGCAAGTCTTTTGCCAATTTTAGACCAACTTTGGGTAACTTGCTGTCATTGTCATTCTAGATGCAATGTTTACCAAACAATATATAGTTGATATGATCACAAGGATTGAATTTCTTGCCAGTCGATAGTAAGCTCCATTTGAAGAGTTCTGTTAAAATTAAAAAGATACATCTTATTTGTAGTTTGAAACAAAAGCATATTATTTGTTGTAATTAACATCTAAACATATGTTATCGTTTGTTATTGTAAAAATGTATCATATAGTACATTGTTTTACTAAACTATCACATATTTAAAAAGGTTTATGTAACTGGGTATCTGGCATTTACTTAATATTTATCATATAACAAGCAAAGTGAATATGGACCTACATGCAAGTCAAATTGATTTTGGTTAAACCATATAAAGAGCAGGGTAAAAGTGAACCCCCTTGCAGGTCAAATTGATTTTGGTTAAACCATATAAAAAGCAGTGTGAAAGTGGACCTCCTTGCAGAACAAATTGATTTCGGTTAAAACCATACAAAAGGCAAGGTGAAAGTGGACCATGCAGATAGAATTGTTTTTGGTCAAATCATATTGGTTTGGGTTAAACCATATAAAAAGCTGGGTGAAAGTGGACCTTCTTGTAGGTCAAATTGATTTTGGTTAAACCATATAAAGAGCAGGGTGAAAGTGAACCTCCTTGCAGGTCAAATTGATTTTGGTTAAACCATATAAAAAGCAGTGTGAAAGTGGACCTCCTTGCAGAACAAATTGATTTCGGTTAAAACCATACAAAAGGCAAGGTGAAAGTGGACCATGCAGATAGAATTGTTTTTGGTCAAATCATATTGGTTTGGGTTAAACCATATAAAAAGCTGGGTGAAAGTGGACCTTCTTGTAGGTCAAATTGATTTTGGTTAAATCATGTCACAAGTAGTGTGAAAGTGGACCTCCTTGCAGGTCAAATTGATTATGGTTAAACCATATAAAAAGCAGTGTGAAAGTGGACCTCCTTGCAGAACAAATTGATTTCAGTTAAAACCATACAAAAGGCAAGGTGAAAGTGGACCATGCAGATAGAATTGTTTTTGGTCAAATCATATTGATTTGGGTTAAACCATATAAAAAGCTGGGTGAAAGTGGACCTTCTTGTAGGTCAAATTGATTTTGGTTAAATCATGTCACAAGTAAGGTGAAAGTGGACCTCCTTGCAGGTCAAATTGATTATGGTTAAACCATATAACCAACAGGGTGAAAGTGGACCTCCTTGCAGGTCAAATTGGATTTTGGTTAAACCATAATAACAATCAGGATGAAAGTGGACCTATTTGCGTGAAAAATTGATTTTGGTTAAACCATGTAAAAGCAATGTGAAAGTGGACCTTCTTGCAGGACAAATTGATTTTGGTTAAAAACCATATTACAAGCAGGATGAAAGTGGACCTCCTTGCAGGTAGAATTGATTTTGGTTATACCATATAAAAAGCAGGGTGAAAGTGGACCTCTTTGCAGGAAAATTGATTTTGATTAAACCATATAAAAAGCAGGGTGAAAGTAGACCTCCTTGCAGGTAGAATTGATTCTGGTTAAACCATATAACCAACAGGGTGAAAGTGGACCTCCTTGCAGGTCAAATTGGATTTTGGTTTAACCATAATAACAATCAGGATGAAAGTGGACCTATTTGCAGGTAGAATTGATTTTGGTTAAACCATATAAAAAGCAGGGTGAAAGTGGACCTCCTTGCAGAACAAATTGATTTTGATTAAAACCATATTACAAGCAGGATGAAAGTGGACCTCCTTGCAGGTAGAATTGATTTTGGTTAAACCATATAAAAAGCAGGGTGAAAGTCGACCTCCTTGCAGGTCAAAATGATTTTGGTTAAATCATATAAAAAGCAGGGTGAAAGTGGACCATGCAGATAGAATTGATTTTGGTTAAACCATATAAAAAGCAGGGTGAAAGTGGACCTCCTTGCAGGTCAAATTGATTATGGTTAAACCATATAAACAACAGAGTGAAAGTGGACCTCCTTGCAGGTCAAATTGATTTTGGTTAAACCATATAAAACAGGGTGAAAGTGGACCTCATTGCAGGTCAAATTGATTTTGGTAAAACCATATAAAAGCAGGGTGAAAGTGGACCTCCTTGTAGGTCAAATTGATTTTGGTTAAACCATATAAAAGTAGGGTAAAAGTGGACCTCCTTGCAGGTCATATTGATCTCAGTTAAACCATATAAAAGTAGGGTGACAGTGGACCCCCTTGCAGGTCAAATTGATTTTGGTTAAACCATATAACAATCGGGATGAAAGTGGACCTCCTTGCAGGTCAAATTGGTTTTGGTTAAAGCAGGGTGAAATGGACCAATCCTTGCAGGTCAAATTGTTTTTTGTTAACTGTGAAAATGGACCTCCTTGCAAGTAAAATTGTTTTTGGTTAACTGAAAATGGACCTCATTGCAGGTCAAATTGTTTTTGGTTAAACCATATAAGAAGCAGTGTGAAAGTGGACCTTGCAGGACATAGATATAAGTCATATGACCTTTAAAGTGTTGGTTTGACTTGAAACAAAAATAAAAGTTTTAATTGAAATAAAACATATTAAAACTACATGTATTGCATTGCATATTTAGCTTTGAAAACAAGTTGAAGACAGTAAAAAAAGGCATGGAAAAGAGAGGTTTTTTATTGTTAATATTCAGCATTGGGAAAGGAAATTATAGTACATTGTATTTTAGATAGCATTTTGTAAATGACAGATTCTGGCATGAGTTATACATGTACAAATGAATGGAATGGAAGAATATGTTCTTTTGTTTATGTTTATCTAGGAGAAAAGAGTTGTGCATGGACTGTGCATAGTTGCATAAATAGGACAAAATACATGTATTTTGTTCATTTCGCCTTCTGAAAAAGTTTTTGAGCAAAGTTTTGATAAAAAATTTGTTAATGCTCTTTGAGGCTTTAAGCTTTTAATCAAACCCATGCTTTGTGGAATTTCGTTATTTTTTTCCCCCTCATCATTTTTAACCGTTTCAGCTTCATGATACAATGTTGATTGATTGAATTGATTTTTAAAAATAAAATTACAGGTGATATTTAGTGTTTATTGCATAAATAAGATTAACAAGTTTTCTTTGCATTTCAGTTTGGGTTTGGGATTTTTTTTTCGCACATTTTTTAAAAAAATCCTCGGGCTGGATTTAATTGTTCTTTTTAAATAATCAAACAAGGGTAGAAAAAAAAATTGGAAAAATAGGGAAAATAATTAAATTTAAAATAAGAATAATTAGAATTAAAGTAATCAATATTTGATATACTCAAGATGGCTAAACACAATGGGTATGAAATTTGTTACCTTGCAATTATTTGCTGTATTAAAAGAAAACACTGAAAAATATTTGATACACTAATTTTGAATGACTTGAATCAATTTTGATTTCAAAATTCATTGGTCTATTCAGTATTAGATATTATTAATGCGGAGACCAGTCTGATTGGTTGCTTCATAGAGCACCTGTTTAAAATTGACCAATCACAAGGCATTTTTAATCCCCTTCCGCATAGCGGAAAGGGGATTATAGGAATGGCCTCCGTCTGTCAGTCTGTCCATACAAACCCAGAGGTACTTGTGTGACTTGGAGAACAATGGGTAACGGTACATTTCCTTTGATCCTATTCATTCCTTTTTTACTTGTGTGTCATTTTTAGACCTTGTGTGACTAAAAATGGCTGAAAAGATCAAAGGAAAATTCCATTTTGTAAGTACCATTTCGTAAGGACGTCTGAGTCCCTCTGTCCGTCCGTCCGTAACACTTTTGTGTCCGCTCCATAATTTTTAAACCACTGAAAATTTTTTAAAACAACTTGGAACAAGTGATCACCATAATGAGACTATATGCAGAGCGCAATAATTGGGTTGCTACCCCCAAGGTCAAGGTCACACTTAAAAGTCAAATGTTTCCTAATAAATAGTCTACATTTCGTGTCCGCTCCATAACTTTTAAACAACTCAAATTTTTTTTAATAACTTGGCACAACTGATCACCATTATGAGATGATATGCAGAGCCCAATAATTTGGTTCCTACCCAAAAGGTCAAGGTCACACTTTAAGGTTTAATGTTAAAAAGTCTACATTTCGGGTCCGCTCTGTAGCTTTTTAACTGCTGAACTTTATAAAAAAAATAACATGGCACAATTGATCACCATAATAAAAACATGTGCAGAGTTTAAAAATTGGGTTTCTACTCCCAAGGTGAAGGTCACACTTATAGGTCAAATGTTTAAAAGTCTACATTTTGTGTCCCATCCATACCTTTAAAACCTTTGAATTTTTTTATATAGCTTGACACAAGTGATCACCATTATGACACAATGTGCAGAGCACAATAATTGGGTTGCTATCCCCAAGGTCAAGGTCACACTTACGGGTCAAATGTTAGAAAGTCAACATAATTATCGTGTCTGTCCAAAACATTTAAATCCTTGCAATGTTTTTACGATAACTCAGCAAAAATGATCAGCATTATGACACCATTGGCAGAGCACAATAATCCTGAAGGTCAGGGTCACTCACACTCAAAGCTCCAATGTTAAACATCTATTTTTCATGTCTGCTCTATAACTTATTGACAATTCAAAGGTTTTAAAATACTTGGCACAAATGATCCCCACCATGACATAATCTGCATAGCTCAACATTCAGGTTGCCACTCTTAAGGTCAAGGTTTGAGCTCTCCATAACATTTTGACTTTGTGGAAGATTTTAAATCATGAGACTATGTGCTAATGATATGCATGGCACAACATCAAGGTCATGGTTGGCAAAAGGTAAGGAGGTACCCATTCATGTTCACTGCGGAAGGGGATTTAGCTGTCCTTCAGACTTCCTAAGTGTTACACTTGTTTCGTTTTGTCAGTGCCTTAGAAAAAAAAACATTGGCTGCTAAATTTATTTATTTCATATTAGGTTTAAATTAAGTGAAAAGTATAGAAATATTGGCTGGTAAAAACTGAGTCAAAAGGAAGTGGTATTAGAATATATGAACTGCTGGTTGTTATGCTAGCCCCTGATTTGGTTTCTTGCTTCCCCTTGTTGCTGCCAACTTTCTCACTTTTTGTTGAATGTGTTTTGCTAATTTTTCTGTACTAATACTCTTACAGCTAGAGGGTGTGTTTAGTAAACAGAGGGACTCTAGCGCAAAGAAACAGTCTGACAAACCTGAAGACGGCACCGAAAAAGTAGGTCATTTGGTCTTGTAGTAATAATAGCACACTAGAGCAAATATAGAGTTCTATGGAGCACTGTTTGTATTAGAATTGATAGAAGAAAGTCAAGATTTTTTTTACACCATGGGCTGGAATTGTTTATGAAAGACATAAAGAAAATATGATAAAATAAAAAATGACTGGCACAGACATACTTTCAAAAAACATTAGCTTTGTTGTTCAAACATGTGAACTCTCCCACTTTTAGAGGGAGACTCCCACTTTCTGCAGCCATATTTTCAAAGATTTTTCTTAAAATTATTGGTGTTTTTGCAAATTAAAGAAATCTCTCTCTTTTGGGTGTCTGTTTATTGCAAATTCTAAAATATCCCACTTTTTGATGAAAAAATCTCTCACTTGATCATTGAAAAAAGTTCACATGTATGGTTGTTCAGGAAGAAGTCTATTTTACACAAAAAAAGAAAATACCTGGCTGAATGGCAATTCCTATCATTTTTGTAAACGCTTATAAATTGTACATGCTTCTTTCGAGATATTGCCTTAGATTTTTGTGTCGCCTCTACAGAGTGTGTCCGTCTGTCCGTCCGTTCGTCACAAAAATTGTGCGGACTACTCCACATAAACTACTGGTGCAATTTCATCCAAACTTTACAGGAATGATCAGTACCAAGTCTAGTCGTGCATATTGTCAGCATTTTCCGGTTCAATGATTTTTGTCAGAGTTATGGCCCTTTGATAAAAAGGTTTTTTTTTCTGTGTGTTGCCAGATACACAAAAGCTTGTCCGGACTACTCCTCATAAACTACTGGTGCAATCTTATCCAAACTTCAGAGGAATGATCAGTACCAAGTCTAGTTGTGCACTGTCTGTCTGTCCGTCTGTCACAAAACTTGTCCCAACATGAAATTGGCCATCATGAGGCAACACATGTGATCACTGATCACTCTTGTTTCTTTTAAGATGATCATTATGTCTTAGACATATTAAGACATAGAATGTCCTTTTTTATATCTCCACAGCAAATTTTTTTGTCTTCTAGCTGTCACTACTTAATTCCAAACTTTTTTTGTAAGGTTCAATATTCTGTATTAAAGTTTTCATTAGGGTTATAGGGTTTAATGGTCTTGTGTCTTTATCAATTTCATAGGATAATAACAAGTAATGGACTAGTATACACTGTAGATATCTTCACATATATAATATCTATGTAACCTAATGTAGTCTAACATTATAATTATATAGATCCCATTTATTCACATAACAATTCTATATCTATATAGTGGTTTATTATATCTCACAGCTATTATTATTATTTCTAAAGCACTATATATAACATTGTACTTTGTTTCTTAAAGATAAATAGTATTGTTTTACCATAGTAAAAATAGTCAAAGTCAAGTTTCAGAGTCAAATACAACTTTACAGTAAAGGTCAAAGTTGAAGGTCAAATTTGTAATAAGTTACTACATTGCAAACTTTATAATATAATCATTATTGAGTTAATCTTCTAACTGAAGATTATCAATTGTTTCAGTAACATAGAGATACAATAAATGTTTGCTAAAATAACAGGTCACCATTTATCTCATATGAAAGTAATCCAGGTCAAGGTCACAACTGGAGGGTCAGAAAAGGTTAATGATATGTAGTTAGCCAAGTTATTTTCGACTATCAGTATGATGAAGGTAGTGGAATAGCATTGAGGTAATTGAATCTCAAAGCACCTGTTTAAGCTTAATTCTACTTTTAATTACATGTATATTTATTTTCATATATAATGCTGTTTTGCTATTTATAATTTTTGTGTGATTTCATAGCAAGAATGTAATGAACTTTACCTGCTTTGTATTTAGAATTGTCTTTTTGTTAGAGATTTCAATATCAAAATTTGCTACCTGGATATATTGTGAACAGATTGTGGTTGGACTGAATAATATGCTACATGTACTTTGCTGGCCAGGCTTGAAGTAGTGGCTTGAGCAAATCAGTTTTGCCATGGAAATGTTAAGTTAAGCATGTAATCTGAACTTTCAAGATTTGTGTTTATACATGTAACTTGCACATCCATCTGTTTTAATGTATTTTATACAAAATTTGGTAACCAATTTAAGGTAAGTGCTTGTCTTATGATTGAGATTGAAAGTTAATTAAGTAAGCAGTTAAAGCGGTCTAAATGCTCAGAAAACATAAACTTGAAAAATGTTACATAAATCAGCAGAGTCACCAGGGACAGTAAAATAAATGGGGGGATAATTGAAAAGATATCAAAGAAACACACTCAGAATTTAATTGTAAACCAGTATGCATAGCGTGATTTGAGTTAAAAACCATTGAACAGTTAGAAGTCATTTTGCACAGTAAAATTATTATTCTGGAAAAAACAAGTGAGCAAAAGAGATCTGTAACTTTGCAAGCATGTTACTTAGTAGAGATCTACACTAAAATATAAAAAAAATTGTTAAAAAAAAAATCCAGTCTTGTCTTGTCTTGTCAAAAACGGCAATGGGTCCCTTTTATAATAAAATTATGCAGTATTGCATTTACTGATATACCGTCTGCTAATTGTCTTGTAAAAAATGATGTTGTCACTCTGCAGGCATCTTCAAATTAATGAGAAACAGTATTGAAAATAAACATATCAAATGGATGAATTATTTTTGCCAGTAAATTATGTGAATAATATTTTTTAATGTATTTGATTTAGTAGATAAAACTTTGATAGGAATAGAAAGTTACATTTTCATGAAAAGATGACCTAGACTTACATAAATTTGTGATGACACTTAGACAGTTTCTGCCATTAAATTTGAGCCGTGTCACGACAAAACCAACATAATGGGTTTGCGACCAGCATGGATCCAGACCAGCCTGCGCATCCGCGCAGTCTGATCAGGATCCATGCTGTTCGCTATTAGTTTCTTTACTTGTTATAGGGTCTTAAGCGAACAGCATGGATCCTGATCAGACTGCGCGGATGCGCAGGCTGGTCTGGATCCATGCTGGTCGCAAACCCATTATGTTGGTTTTGTCGTGACACGGCTCATTTAATAACATGCCTGGCATGCATTACTTACAAAATTACTTACTGTTTTATATTCAAAAGTTGTCAGTGAATTAAGAGTTAATTTGACTGGTTCTATATTAGAGTTCAGTTATGTGAAAAGACTTACATCTTTGTTAATTTAAGAAAATGGTCCAGTCTAGACTCTGAAAATTGATTTAACATTAGAATATTCTTGAAATAAATAAATTTTTGAACTGAGACAACTTTATCTCAACAGGCAGCTAGCTGCAAAAAAATGTTATGTTTTTAAGCTTTTATTTCATGATTCAAGTTTAATGCCTTAATTCAAGCAATTTGTTGTTTTATCAGAAATTAAGTTGTCAGGTGGTATTAGTTATTTTATGTTTTGATATATTGTGTATTAAATATAATTCAGGTCTGGCACAATCTGAATTTGATTCACTTGTTCGGTTTTTTTTTGAAAGCATTTTTTAACATGTCCATATGATATCAATATAGTAAATTCTTGAAAATTTCCACTTGTCCGTACATGTGCTGAGATGACCTGAGCAATACTGAGAATTGATTTTTGCCATCCCTGAATTAATGTTGACTTACCCAAAGACATTTTAAATGTAATTTTAATATACCCAAAGAAAGCATTGTATTAACTTCCAGTTAAGTAAATTCTGAATTTATATTGAAATTTTCATAGAAGATTAGCAAGCCAAAAAAAAGTTGTTTGTGATTTGAAAAATATTACACAATGTTTTGAACTTATTATAAATTTATATCATTAATTATAAATGTTGAACAAGTGACATGGGATTTTATCTTTCTTATTAAAGTCAGTGGAGCCAATCCAGGAGACGACATTGTTGTTACATTTCTTTGGAAGACGAGGAAACGATGTACTCAAATATGAAGATTTTCACACGTAAGTGTTTTCTTGCTGGACCACAGCTTGCCATTTATGTGACAGACCCTTGCTGAGAAGATTATTTCAAGAATTAAAGCTTTGTTTGTTCACTTGACAATATGTTACTTTTTATACATTTTAAAAATGTTCATGAAAATAAGGCTGAAGGAATCGGCAGGCATCCTGCTTTAAAAGTTAAACCACCTATTCAAGAATTTATAATGGAGACAGTTTAATATATTGAAACCCTTAGCCTGCTGGATTCAATATTTATAAAAACTTTGCAACCAGAATGGAGCCAGAACAGATTGCACATTTATGGTGCCTGATTAGTCTCTACTACTGGTTGTCAAATGCTTACATTTTGAAATTTCAAAACAAGCAATGGACACTTCTTGAAAATAGGTAGATGCTGATCTGCTGCGTGGATGTCATCTTGTGTAGCAAATAAATCATAGTGTACAATGGGTACTATGTTGAGATATATTGAGAGTATTTTAGCGAACTTGTCATCCATTTTAATGATGACATAAATAATTTCATCGCTGTAGGTTTCAGCCGCACCAGTGTATATCTATTCTTTCATATGTTAAAGCTTAGTCCAGCTAGCTTACTGAATGTCAGTGGTTCTACTCAGGTGCCTAAGATAATGCACAGAGGGGCAGGGGAAGTCATCCTCCACTAGTAAAAGCTGGAAAGTTGCCATAGGACTTATACAGTGTTGGTGCGACATAAAACCAAACAAAAAATTTCATAATAGCATAATGTCAATGTCAGAAAGGAAGCTTATCATGTATGTATGGTTGATATTGCACTTTAATTTTTTTCGTCACAGATTCATGACAAACTTACAGAGTGAGGTGATAGAGTTAGAGTTTCTAGAGTTTTCTAAAGGTATGCAGACGATATCGGAGGAAGATTTTGCACACATTCTCCTACGTTACACAAATCTTGACCAGCTTGAGATAGGGGAATGTATCAACAGAGTGAAAGAAAGGATGCCTGTAGAAAAGGTAATTTTGGTAGTTTGAAAAACAGAATTTTGGTAATTTATTTGAGATTTTAAAACGTAGTTAGAAATTGGTGCAATATAACAATTGAGGGTTAAATTCCCCATCAAACTCTCAAAAACCCAGAAAGTTTAATTATCGACTAAAGATAGAAGTCTGGAAAAGCGAGGTCCTGAAGACCAAACGTAACAAATTAACAAATAACAGTGATAGCACAGTGATAAATTATTAATATTTCATATTTATTTTGTAGCCTTCTGATGTAAGCCAGTATTAAAATTAATTTAACACCTTAATCTACATGTATATGGAAGCCTTTTTTCAGAGATGTTGGTTTGACCTTTGGAGCACCTGTTTCTATTTTCTGTAGCCTTTAAGCATAAAACCACTTCCATAGAATAGCATTGTCACTTGCAACCTGTTTAATTTATGTAATGAATTTGCTCAGCTTTGAATTTGGAACAGTCCATTTGAAGTTTTAGAGACTTCATTATCAAAATTCAAAAATTTAGCTACCAACAGTTTAGAGCCTCCCCCCTTTGAAGGTCACTTCTCCAAGACCCATAAGTCTTTGACTAAATAATAATGATTTGTGAATTAAAAAAATCCTGTTTTAAGTTAAACTACTAAAGGTATTTTTTTAAACTTCACACATGTCTTCATGGCCCATAACCAATTATAGATTTTGAACTAAGTTCCTGCCATCATTTTAAGAGGTTTTTATTATGCTACATGTATTTAAAGCAATGAGAATAGTAGAGAAAGTTGACCTGGCTGCTCTAATTGTTGACTATATGCTTACATTATTGAGCCGTGTCACAACAAAACCAACATAGTGTGTTTGCAACCAGCATGGTACCAGACCAGCCTGCGCGGAGTCTGATAAGGATCCATGCTGTTCGCTTACAAACCCTATTACAAGTAGAGAAACTGAATGCCCGGATGCGCAGGCTGGTCTGGATCAGGGTTCGTACAGTCTTAAAAAGTGCTTAAATTTCAGTCCCTTTCTTAAAAAGTGCTTAAAAATAATAAAAAGTGCTTAAAAGTCCTTGAATTTGATAACTCTCTTGAAAAGTGCTTAAAAAGTGCTTAAATTTGCTACAAATGTGCTTGAAAATAATTGAATGACCGACTAATGTCGGTAAAAATCAACAAATAAAAAAAAAAAAACAAAAAAAACCCGATCTTGTTTATGATATATTGAAGTTAGGGGTTTAACAGGGGGCCATACAACAGGGTGGCAGTTAAGTTTGTATTTGTTGCTATCTTTGTTGTTATTCTATAGAAGCTGTAGCCAAAAAATGTATTTTCAACAAGAAATGACTTATAAATTAATATTGGTTAAACATTGTGTAGGATATAGACGCAACAAATTGTGCTTGAAAAATGGAAAAACATGCTTAAAAACTGCTTAAAAAGTCCTTGGATTTTGATACTGGATGTCTGTACGAACCCTGTGGATCCATGCTGGTCGCAAACGCACTAAGTTGGTTTTGTCTTGGCGCGGCTTATTTATACTTACCTATTTCAACCAATGGTTTATTTTGGCTTGTTCAGCTCCTTATTAAGGTACACATGGAAATAATTAAATATAAGCTTTAAGAGAATTATTGGATATTACAAAACAAAGACTTTAATAACATTGTTAAGTATTTGTTTAATTCAACTCCTGTAACTTAATTTTGTAGCCCTCAGAAACTAACAAATTATTATGTATTAACATTTATAATATGTTATATCTCAAGGATTTTGATTAACAGTAGACCGTATTTAGAACTGGGATACTTTCTTAATCTCTTCTGTTTATGTGTGTCTGAGTGCGCTTCTTAGATAGCTAGACTATTCTCCACCAAAACTGTTAGTTCACTTGCACTAGGAAAAATTCACATTCAGCATTATTTTCCATAAAATAAAATTAGATATGATCATAATGTTTTAACAACTGAAATAACTTGTACATGTCTTATGGAAGTGGCTGTGACAGATTATACAAGTACTTAAAATGGTGCAAAAGCAATACTTGATTAAATATTAAATAAAAGCTTCAATACATGAATAAGCACAGCAATACTTGATTAAATATTAAATAAAAGCTTCAATACATGAATAAGCACAGCAATACTTGATTAAATATTAAATAAAAGCTTCAATACATGAATAAGCACAGCAATACTTGATTAAATATTAAATAAAAGCTTCAATACATGAATAAGCACAGCAATACTTGATTAAATATTAAATAAAAGCTTCAATACATGAATAAGCACAGCAATACTTTGATTAAATATTAAATAAAAGCTTCAATACATGAATAAGCACAGCAATACTTGATTAAATATTAAATAAAAGCTTCAATACATGAAATAAGCACAGCAATACTTGATTTAATATTAAATAAAAGCTTCAATACATGAATAAGCACAGCAATACTTGATTAAATATTAAATAAAAGCTTCAATACATGAATAAGCACAGCAATACTTGATTAAATATTAAATAAAAGCTTCAATACATGAATAAGCACAGCAATACTTGATTAAATATTAAATAAAAGCTTCAATACATGAATAAGCACAGCAAATACTTGATTAAATATTAAATAAAAGCTTCAATACATGAATAAGCCACAGCAATACTTGATTAAATATTAAATAAAAGCTTCAATACATGAATAAGCACAGCAATACTTGATTAAATATTAAATAAAAGCTTCAATACATGAATAAGCACAGCAATACTTGATTAAATATTAAAAATAAAAGCTTCAATACATGAATAAGCACAGCAATACTATTGATTAAATATTAAATAAAAGCTTCAATACATGAATAAGCACAGCAATACTTGATTAAATATTAAATAAAAGCTTCAATACATGAATAAGCACAGCAATACTTGATTAAATATTAAATAAAAGCTTCAATACATGAATAAGCACAGCAATACTTGATTAAATATTAAATAAAAGCTTCAATACATGAATAAGCACAGCAATACTTGATTAAATATTAAATAAAAGCTTCAATACATGAATAAGCACAGCAATACTTGATTAAATATTAAATAAAAGCTTCAATACATGAATAAGCACAGCAATACTTGATTAAATATTAAATAAAAGCTTCAATACATGAATAAGCACAGCAATACTTGATTAAATATTAAATAAAAGCTTCAATACATGAATAAGCAACAGCAATCTTGATTAAATATTAAAATAAAAGCTTCAATACATGAATAAGCCACAGCAATACTTGATTAAATATTAAATAATAAAGCTTCAAATACATGAATAAGCACAGCAATACTTGATAAATATTAAAATAAAGCTTCAATACATGAATAAGCACAGCAATACTTGATTAAATATTAAATAAAAGCTTCAATACATGAATAAGCACAGCAATACTTGATTAAATATTAAATAAAAGATTAAATATTAAATAAAAGCTTCAATACATGAATAAGCACATTTTCTTATTCATGTTGTTCCTAGTTTTATTTAAATGTGCATAAATCATACGAGAAAACAAATTGGAGCGTTTCCTTTCTAAAACTTTAACTGCTATTTTCAATAGGTTTAGTCTTGGATTTCACGCATGCACATCCTGCTTTATCAGAAATTTATAATTTTTAATCTTGCAACTTAGGTACCTTGGTAGGATTACTAGGGAAAACTACGGGTACACATAATCTGTATTTAAAAGTTTAGGGTATATTTCTAAAATTTGGACCCCATTGTAAACATGTTTTTGTTTTTATAAACAAATTGATGTAGGCAAGAAAAAATTTTGCATTCAAAATAAAATGCAATACATGTATTTCATAGTCCAAGTCATAATGAAAAATGTGAAAATTTATATAAGAACGAAGTATGAGGTTTTAGAAAATGATTTTAAACATTTAATCTATACATTAATATTGTTTGTTAATAAGACTACAAGTTCTGGAATAATAAAGATATTACACAAATTTTTTGGTTAAAAAAATTTTGTAACTTTATGTACATGTACCCCTCCAGTCTTTAATTTTTATGCATGCATGTAGTACTAGTATTTTGTGGGTGAATAATACACTGAAATGAGTATGCTTATTAGACTTACTCCAGAATTAGAAATATTTGGGTTTTTCCCAGCTAATCCGGGGGTACAAACAAACTTTTTCAATTACACTTCGAAAATT